TAATACCGGAGCTGTGGTGTTGGTGTGACTTTTGCTGTAGGGGCGAACCCGTGGCCGATGTGGGGCTGTCGTCAAAGTTTGCCCATTCGTTGGATGAGAGAGACATTGATCCGAATGACTGAGCGAACGGATCTCCATCTATACCACCAATGGATTCACTCGTCCCCGGCATCTGAATCATGAAAACAATCAAATAATTAGTGATTACCGGTAAATATTGTATACATTTAACTCTTTGTTTAAAATTAATGTCTTATAAAAAGTCAAACTTTAGGTGCAGTCTTGAAGTACTACTTAAATATTCTGCACAATAAGTGTGAATACAATTGAAAATCTATTGATTTATTATATTTATAACGCGTTCAATTCGTAGACAAAAGAAATCAATTATGAAATAAAAATCATAAATCGATCGATGCGTTCATTAAATACTAGTTTAGTGTAAGTAAAGAGCAAATTAGATTAGTATTTACTGTAATATCTATTAATCGTTAGTATTTCACCAGTACTTTGAAAGTGAAATAAAATTCAAGTTTTTATCTCATTTTATGAACTTTTTTCTCATTTCACAAGTGATTTGATAGTCACACTTAATTTGCAAGTTTACTATGAATTCAAGTATTTGTTTGATTGGCACATAAAAAACCCATCAAATATTACACTATTCAATTATAAGTGCTTTTTAAAACATGAATTTCTACATAACTCGTACACTATTGAGACACTCATTATATTCAGTAGCGATAAACCTGTGACTGAAATAAAACAAATTCTTTGTTTCACCAAAAAACAGATATCATAAGTGTTTTGAGATAAGCATTCATTAAAAGGACTAATTTTATGCTTAAAAAACTAAATTTCATTACTTTTTCGAGTCTCGCTTTACTGATGCCATAGTCGGACACAAACACGTTGTCCGTCGGTTCAAACGACGAGAAAATGTCCAAATCATTCGCAGTGACAGCACCGGTAGCTGAGCCGGTGCTGCTGTTGGAGTGTAGCGGCGGTGGCGGCGCCGGCATTGATGGCACGTTTGGTGACTCTGAACGCGACGGCCGCAGCGTAACGCTGGACTCGCGGCGAAGGGTTT